TCTGCCACGTAGCGGGAAAGCGTTCGACCGATCAACTCGACCGTCGGTGTTTTATACATATATATATATATACATTTCGTGACATGAACAAAGTATCGCGTCACGTTCGCTTCGCGAGTCCGTCCGATGAAAAATTAAGCCATTTGTATCACGAAGTGGAACAACAATCCTCGAACTGAGAATTTTATTTTATATTATAGATATACGAACATATTGATCGTTAATGGTGGTCATGTATATAGTATCTGGGTTGAGCAAAGCATCGTCGACAAGCAAATTTTAAATGGCATAAATAATAAATAGATGACACTGTGAAATAATAAATTTCGCATTTTTATCGTAACGTAATTAAATATTTCACCCCGTGGTATAAGTTTTCATTGATAGTCAACGTTTATATGAATATTCTATTTAATTTATTTATTCTAAAATGTTTGATACGGCAGAATTAAAACCTACCAGACGTGTATCTATAAAAGTAGCAAGTTAATACGAGGGTTTTCTGGATTTTTCTTCATAAATAATTGGCGAATAAATTGTTCCGGTATTTTTGAAATACACATAAATGCGATTTTTTTTTTCAACTTTATATTTCAATTTTTATTCAGATTTTTTTGCAAGATGGCAGTGTTTGTTATCCACTAGTTTCGATACCTGGCTGCTTGAAATATTTGAAGTGAAAGATACCTATTAATTTACAAGTGCAAATGTATTATATTATCTAAAACTATTATTGAAATAGCCAATAGCCATTATTGAAATATCAATAGTTTGAAGTGGAGAAACCTGTTCTTATCGATGAAAAACAACTTTTAAATGCACTTGTAAATAATTATGTAACTGAGATACCGAAAATATCGTACATTTTACATAGTAGACACGTGTCCGTTTGTAAATCAGTAGGAACTTTTTATTCCAGTCTTGCCAATTCTTTGCAGTAATCGCGATTAGACAATTGAGGTTATGAAACTGAAATAACTGGCCCAAAAGAAATTGAACAGTAAAACATAAAAAGTCGCGTTCATTTTCCTTCAAACAGTAATTTATTTATTTATTATGGCCTATTAAAATTATTTATTAATTGCCTGTTAAAAAAATTCTCAGAGCAGAGAACTTTCCTTTAGTCAATGTCTAATTTAATTCGATTAGAAAAATTTGACTGTGTCTTTGTGATACGTTATACAATAGGAAATAGTAAATGTTTCAATCGCAAAATTATGAAGCTGTCAAATTTAAAAACTGCCGAACTCGAAATTGCTGCATTCAAAACTATCAAGTCTGAAGCCTTGATGTACCAGTTTGTAAGTTAAATTGTGACGATCATTTGCAATAAGCTTCGATGATGGTCCATCTTGGATCCGAAAATCGTGATGAAAATGGCTTAAAAAAAAAAAAAAAAAAAAAAAAAAAAAAAAAAAAAAAAAAAAAAAAA